CATTTTACGTGTTCTTTAAAAATTTCCAAAAGAATGAGGGAATAAAGATTTTGGACAAAATACAAAGAACTTGTTTGAACTTTACATTGTATGTGTGTTTTTGAAAAAAATACCGAATAAAAAAATTAAATTTTGTTAAATGTCTCTTTACTATAGTTATCTATTGCCTTTACCTCGCCTTTATATTTGCATTAACATATGCATTAACTTTTGCATTAAAATATTTGGAAAACTCGAAGGCACGTTATAGAAAACCTTTCATAAAACTTTACTTTTAAACTTGCTTCTCATAACCCATCTCATGAATAATCATACTTGCATAAATAAAACTTCCTCTTAAATCAAACCAGTGCGGTGCCCGTGCGATGCAGGGGCTAGTTTTATTAAGGTAAACATTTAGAATTGAATGATTGGAAGAACGTAAAACGTATGTATTGGAATAAAATAAAATGTAAATTATATATTATTAAACACATCCTTGTACACAACATTATTTGTTTGGTCTTTTGGTACATCGTCCATCGCCACAAATTATATTAGGATTCTAGATAGGCGTACATAAATCAATTAAATTATTTATCAGCATATATATGACACGATTTATACTAGTTTTATGAAGATTGTATAGCCAAATGTAATCTATAGTCTTATTATTTTAAAATTGTGAATTACTTAGGGAAAAATTGTGTACGTGTATGCAATCAATTTCAAATTTGTATTCTGGATGATTAAACAAAACCAAAACTTTAGGATGTTCCAATCCGATCATTTTGAATTTCAAATTAATATTATCTGACTCTGTTTTATGTTTAAAAAAAATCTGAACTAAATAAAGTAGTCGCCAGATGATAAGAGATTTTTAAATTTTAATTTTCAATTTGAAATTGGGCCCGATTTCTATGCAGTCCGATTTATTTTTTAATAAACATGATCTGTTTCAATTACGTAAGATGCATGTTCTAGTATTTTGCCTAATTTCATGTTCTTGATTTTATGGTATATAATTTTTTTAATAAAATATGAGAGAATTTTGACTTTTACAAAATTGTCATACCGAATTTTACCTAAATTAACCCGATTTTGATGCAATTCGATTTTTTTAATAAACAATTGATATGTGGCAATTAGGAAAAGATATATGTGATAGTATTTTTGCCTAATTCGAAATTACCGATTTTATGGTAATAATTTTTTTATATAAAAAATGAGAAAAAATCTTGACTTTTGCAAAATTGTAAGCGTCAGTCGAATTTTACCTAAATTAAATACACCAAACCCATAAATTTGAGGTGCATATATAACTGATCAATTTTCTGGGAATAATTTATAAAGAAAATTTAAAAACTGTCGAAAATAGAATGCAATAAATGATGCTAGACTTTTTTTGTTACTATTTTTGGTAAATATGTTCTCTCTTTGAATATATATATATATATACTCAACCAACTCTCGAGAATAAATTAACTTAAGTAAATAAACCCATAACCTTAGTCTTAAAGTTTAGAAATAACTTAAGCGTAAAAGTGTGGAAACTAGTTCCTTTTTTATCACCCTCGCCATCGCTTCATTGCCAACTCGATCAACCTGGGTGTGTAAAATAATAAGGGGTGAACATTTCTACTTACTCAGTGAAGATTCATCAGTGAGTATTCTTACTACATAATATTCAATATAATAACAAATCATATGACATCAACATGTAACAAAAATAACTATGTTGCTCGGCCTCTCTGACTAAAGATTTTTATCCCAAAGCTAGAAGTCTATGATTCTTGGGTACCTCGAATTAATGGTTTTACCGAAAAGCCTGAAGTCTATGATTTTTGGTCCCCCGGACAAATGATTTTACCCAAAAGCCCAAAGTCTATGATTCTTGGGTCCTTCCAACAGTGGGCACTGCCAGAAGACTATGATTCTCGTTTTCTCCTGAAGAATCGGAAGTTTATGATCATAATTAAATAAGCTATAGATCTCAGCCATAGTATAATAGCATAGGAATTTCGCACCTGGTAGTGCAGTTGGTTGTTCTTGAAGAATATGCTCTAAACAGTTGAGGGCTCGACTCCTCTCGACTGTCGTGCTTCGAGAAAAAGAAAAAAAAAACAGCTCGATGGGGTCTCGGGTGCTTGCTTGACGTCGCCTTCTTCGCGTGTTCTCGGCCGAAGTTGTTGTTGTTGTTTTTTTTTTACTTCTCTTGCGCGCGTGACTTGCGTGCGTGAAGACGAAAATCTGATGGGATGAAGTTTATTAAGGGTGCTAGGTTTAGAAGACTTGTAGAATTAAATGATTCTTAATTTTGGTAGGAAAATGATTTCTTTTGCTTGTTGAAGAGAGAAAAATATTGGATAAATATAGAAGTCTCTCTCTCTC